GTTTGTGGGAGGAAGGCTGGTGACTCTTCAGTAACTCCTATATACTGAAACGACCCAAACTCACTTTGAACAGCCCCTGAAGTATCGACGCCGTTTTTCTGACTTGATAAGAGTAAGAACACAAAAACAAACCAAAAGTGTAGACGAGAAAACATGTTGTTCATAATATCAACAAATTTGCTTGACCTCCTCTACAGCCAAAATGAAAATCTAAATTGAGGCCTTCGAGGCTATTTTGGAAGAAATGAAAACATTTCTTGTTTATTCTTTACACTAACAAAAGTTTCTGTACACCTTCGTTCTTATACAAACTAATAAAACGTAAATCAGTCCTTTTGTGGTTTGAAATAATCTTAATGGCGAAGAATGCTTCCCGCTTCTATTTTAGTGAAATAGGAAATGAACAGCCGAATAAAACAAAGTCTCTAAAGATCATTCTTAATTATCAATATTATTAAAATCTAATGTCCGGATTTCACGACTCTTCGAATGGCATCATAAGCAAAGCTTGTTATGTATTCCAGTACAAGTCTTCAGAAGCAATTTGGTAAATTTTGACGTAAAAAGCCTATTACTGCAGACCTATACTTTTCCGGCTCTTTATCGAAAAGTGCACAATGTACTGCGTCTCTTGCTTCAAAAAAAGCTTTTGGTTCCGGAGCCGCTTCAAAGATACGTTTACCATGTTCAAATGGAACGATTTCATCGGAAGTACCATGTAGCACGAGAATCGGGCAAACTAGATCTTTGGCAGCATCAACTGCCCCATAATCACGGATACCTTGTCCTATACGAAACAGCAAAACCCGACTTGCCAATAAGAACAAAAGTCTTCTGGCTACATGATAACTATCTTTGGGAAGATAATTGCCAAATAACCTACAATACATTAAAAAATTGTCACTTTGGAAAAAGTTTGCAGCTTACAGTTCAAGATGATAGCAAAACAAGTCAGTTGCCCTAGTAAATGGATTTTCCGCAACAACGGCATCCACAATGGAAGGCATCAGTGCTGCAGCCAAAATAGCACTTGAAGCACCAGCTGAAGTTCCCATTAAAACAATACACTCTGCGCCTTTCTGTTCTCTAAGAAATCGTGCTGCAGCAATGACATCATACTTTTCACGAACTCCAAACGCAAAACCCTTTCCACTGCCATCGCTTAAGCCATGTTCCGAAAGATCAAAAAGCAATACATCAAAATTTGCAGCATGCAACATTGCTGTATGCCTTAAAAATGCTCTCCTGTCTCTTCCAGCCCCATGAACACAAACAACCATACACTTTTTTGGCTTCTTCGCACAAACAAACCATCCTCGCAGAATCTTATTCTGAGAATTGTAGAATTCGACCTTTTCATAGTCGAGTCCCAAATCATATCTAAAGAAGAAAAAAAGTTGAGAAAATTAGAAAACAATTTCCTACAAAGCATTACTTTGGGTCATGACAAACTCCTTGCCAATAGTCCGGTAAGCCAATCATACTTAGACCATTCTTCATATCTCCAGGACGATACCATGGCGGTCTCATAGCAACTTCTGAAGCAAATATAAGAACAAGCACAATATACCAAACGAATAGAAACATATAATACAAGAGGAGCTTTAGCCACGGCACAAATGCAAAAGGAACAATGAACGGAAATAATAAAGCCAACGACAATCTTAAAGGTTCAAATAACAAGTGTGGACTAGAAATAAATTGTGTTGCCTCCGCTTTTGCAACTTGAAACTCTTTCTTAGTAAAGGTTTTCACATTCTTCATCACCTTCGAAAAATCGTCCACCGCCTTTCGATTAGCTTGACGTGCCGCTTGCAAGGCATTTAGAGTACTGAGAGAACGAGACCTTATAAGTTGAGCAACATCGTGTCTTCGAAAGACACTCTCTCCTGAAGGCTTCGAATCAAACCTTCCTTCCCTTTCAGAGTCACTTGGAGAGGACAGTACATTGCTGGACAAGTCAGATTCTGAAGGCAAGTGATACGTTGAGTCCTCAGCAACAAAAAATAGACTTGAGTCTGTCTTTGGTGAATTCCGAATTTTGTTTCTGGAAAGATGTCTTCCTAAACGTCTCCTTATCGACTTCAGTGGAGAAAGCTTTTCTTCAACCTGGCTGGAGTCCAATGAGACTTCACTATCACTTGAAAATGTTCTAGCAGTGAGATTCGGTGAGGACGCCGACTGTCTTGTTTCTCCAAAGTGAGTTGTTCGCATAAAGCCAGTCAATGCCTACTGCCAGCGATTTAAAATAGAATAGAAAAAATCCTCGCTAGTAAATCATTCCAAATATCCTCGTCTTGCAGTAGCTGCTTTTGCTATGATCCAATGGAAAAGCTTTAAAACATTGACTAATACATTCATTCACTCATGAAAACTGTAATAAACAATGAAGGGATATGCAAATCAGCGGAGGCTCATTTTTGGGTATTTTGAAGGAATCTATATCGATAAGGGATCTCATTTGGGTTTTCAAACTTAAGGCACCCCATCATTCAGTTATTATAGAACATTTCTTTATTCCTAGTTCAATTCGGGAGTCGCTCGCTTTCTCCATAGGGAGCAGTGTTTGAAGAATCCAGACACCATTTGATACTCCTTTACTTTTCTAGTTTCACTCAATTTTTGAAAATCTCTGGGTTTACTAATGCACTGAAAGTGAGAGAAAATACTGAGCCATACTATGTGTGTAGCAACTAGTCATGTGATTGTTCTTTTGAAAAATTCAGATTTCCTCACGAAGGATTCCGAAGATAAAATGTTTAGTAGCATGTTTCGTTCAAGACTGGTTGATGTTGAGATAGCCAAAAGCTCGACTCTTCAGTTGCATACGTTGCCAAAGAGATTCCTTTCTTCATCGAATACGACAGAACATGACGTAGCTGTCCTTGGTGGAGGTCCGGGGGGCTATGTTGCGGCGATCAAAGCAGCCCAACTAGGACTGAAGGTAGTGGATTTGACTTTTATGCTTTGCCCTTGGGTTACCTGAAATTTTGTAGGTCACTTGCATAGAAAAGAGAGGACGACTGGGTGGTACTTGCCTGAACGTCGGATGCATTCCGTCTAAAGCACTACTTAACTCGTCTCATATGTATGAAGAAGCTTTACACAGCTTTGCTGGTCATGGAATTACCTTTAAGGATGTGAAACTTGATCTTGATGCTATGATGAAACAAAAGTCAAAAGCTGTCGATGTTCTGACGAAAGGAGTTGAAGGTAACTTTTCTCAAGTTCTTTCACTTCCTCGATTCCAAAATAGCTGTAGGTCTCTTTAGAAAGAACAAAGTTAGCTACGTTCGGGGAACAGGAAAACTGAAAAGCAAAAACGAAATACTTGTAGAGTTGTTAGATGGAGGTACAGAGACTATCAAGGCGAAGAATATTGTTATAGCTGCTGGATCAGAGAGCGCTTCCTTACCTGGTGTTGCTTTTGATGAAAAGAGAGTCGTATCATCAACTGGGGCCTTGTCTCTTGGTCAAGTTCCTAAGAGAATGGTCGTTATTGGAGGAGGATATATCGGTCTTGAGATGGGTTCTGTATGGAGAAGACTTGGTTCAGAGGTTTGTCACTTGGCCGCATAGTTTTTAGCATCTGACTTGTTCAGGTTACTGTTTTGGAGTATCTCGATCATATTGTACCAATGATAGACCGTGAAGTTGCAGATCACCTTTACAAAACTCTTCAAAAACAAAATCTAAAGTTTAAACTTGGTACGAAAGTCGTCGGAGTTGATAGTTCTGGCAGCACGTTGAAGTTGACGGTTGAACCTTCAAAAGGAGGAAAGCAGGAAAATCTAGAGTGCGACGTTGTACTCGTTGCCACAGGTCGTAAACCGAATACGGGGGAACTTGGTTTGGACATTGCTGGAGTAAAGTTAAATAGCAAAGGTCAAATAGAGGTTGATGACCATTTTAGAACCAATATTTCCAATATATATGCAATAGGGGATCTGATTCGGGGCCCTATGCTGGCACACAAAGCTGAAGACGAAGGTTCGAATTTTTTATATCTTTGACAACTTGTAACATATTCGTTGAAAGGTGTGGCATGTGCCGAAATAATTGCAGGCAAACCCGGTCATGTGAATTACGATGTAATCCCTAGTGTGATATACACATTTCCCGAAGTTGCTTCTGTAGGGAAGACCGAAGAAGAACTTAAGCAAGCGAATATTGAGTATAACAAGGGAGTCTTTCCATTTTTGGCGAATTCTCGCGCGAGAACGAATGACTCTCAGGGAGAGTCTATTCAAGGAATGGTGAAAGTTTTGGCTGATAAAAAGACGGACCGAGTAAGTTATCCGAATTTTTCCCTTTTCCATTTTTTCAAGTAGCCATAGATTCTTGGTATTCATATCATCGGTAGTAATGCAGGGGAAATGATAGCAGAAGGTGCCTTAGCCATGGAATATGGAGCTTCTTCTGAGGATGTTGCACGAACTTGTCATGCACATCCGACGCTTTCTGAAGCTTTTCGAGAGGCACACATGGCAGCATTCAGCAAGCCGATAAACTTTTAGATGGAAATAAAGGTTTTTTTTGTGAATTTTGTACTGGTTGATCTTTAAGAACTAAAGTTTATGAAAAACCGTTTTGCGAAGTTTTAAATTCAAAGATTCGTTTGTAGTCATCATCCTCGTCAGGACAAGTTGCATAATATCGAAAAGCTACAATATTTGTGTACAGAAACTATCTTGGAATGTTTGTCTTTGAAAGGTGTTCAACTATGAAAAGTTCATGTGGTCGATTTCTCGCATTAGCCTCATCGACATTTCAACAATCACGTGTAGACGCCACCAAATTTTTTAAAGTCCTTTCTTGTCGTCCCAAATACTGAGGGCTCGATTTGACGGTCTAAGTACGTTGTGTGACCAGGAGTCTCTGTAGTAATGAAGATAACGTGGAAGCCACCCTAAATAAACCCTAAAGGGACATTAGCAATAAGTTACTGTGCTAAAAACAACGCTTCCATCCTTCAGTAAACTTTGAAATGCTACAGGCATACAACAGTCCACGAACCAACGAAGGACATCGAAGTCTTATTTTCTGTTTCTTTGAGTGGAAGGATATCTTTGTTCGTGACGAAACTTTTAAGACGAGACGTCGCAAATTGTCTTGCCTTGGTTTATCATCTGCCAATACATCTTGATTGACTGATTTAACGTGTGACAGTTGAACAGGAGAGTGAGAAGGATACCAACGTGGGATTTTACAGTGGAAGTTTTGTAGCTTGTTAGCTTCGTTAGCGTTATAGGAGAAGAGTCTCTGAAAGCCATGAAACCTATGTAATATAGATCATTTCGTAATATTTTGTCAGAGTGAAAATTGCATTAAGAATATAGTTGCAAGAGTGCGAAAGTAGAAATCAAAAATAAAACCATTTCTTTGAGGAAAAAATCTCTCTATTTGTAGGATACAAAACAGAACCCTCATGCAAATTCACATTTGATCTCTGATTCAATCCCTTCCACACGCTTCTTTTCAGTCAAAGAAGTCTTGGAAGCTACCCACGCAATGAGTGGCTGGGATTTTGCGTCGTTCTCCCGTTTGTTTGTACGCCTCCACTTTTTCATATTTTAGGTTATTTGAGCATCGTGTACCCTTGACTTTTCTCTTTCAACGGTATTTATCTGTTGGGTTGCTGCTTAACTATAGAAAGGGAGGTCTTGTTTAACGGGTGTCTGAATATTTACCCTCTTTGAGGAAAGAGTGCTTACTCAAGAGTAGTGGTTGTAGTCGCCTATTGGTGAATCACCAGTAGCTTCTGTTGCCTTATTTTCACAAATATTGTTGGCAGTAGCTTTGGTTGGCACAGTTTGTAGTACTTTTACAAATTTTATAGTTCTATTCCTGACTGGAATTGCCGCTGTCACTGAAAGATACAAATTTTTAACTGAACGGAAACATATAAGCAGTGCAGGACCTATATGTGGCTGGGGAGTTCTGTCTATATTCGGTCCTCGAACCAGTGATTTTTTTTTCACAAATGGTCGATGTTCTTGATATACTTCGCATAGCAAAGGATGATACCGTCAAAAACGTAGCTGCTATGGATGTCTTATCAAATGGCAAAAAGAGAGCTATGGAAACTGACTCACCACCTCCAATTTCGAAACAAATACTGTCTTATATTTTCTCGAAACTTACGACCCCACCAAGTACACCTTCAAATGAACTTACCCGAAAAGAAGGTGTTCAGTCCTCTAAACTGTCGAATCCTTCAACACAAGAGCAACTCTATTGCAATAATGTGGAGAACAATAATAGTCACGTTGACAGAGCCGATGACATTTATTGTCGTTCATATATCCATTCATCAGATGATGTTAACTTGATTGATAGTACGCATAAGGAGTCGTTGGTAGCTGGTGAAGTCGACAAGGTTGGCTCATCATCAGAAGAGGGGCGAACAGATTTAGAAGATTACGACGGTTCTTCAAAGTCACAGGGAGAGAAGACATCAAGTTCCAGTAATGAACAAGACGTTCCCTCAAAATATTTTCGTTACTTGTCGATAGAGAGTGATCGAGGAAGTCATTTTCTTTATGGGCTGGTAATTCCTCTGGTCGCGAGAATTTTATTGGTCTCATGTCCTAATGTCATGTGTATCGTTGAGATACCTGTAATAGAAAGAAAGAAACAGACTTCACAGTCTTCCAGTTCAGATGAGTCCATTCCTAGTGGTAATACTAGCCCTGGAGAGGGTAATGCCGAGTTTCACCGCTCGTCTTCTAACGATTCACGAGGAAGCACTCACATACAAAGTGGAGAGTCCTTGCAGAGAGACAATTCTTGTAGCGAAAAGTCAAGCCATAGAGGAAGCACATTACACGGGGCATTCAACTGTTCTTTCATTACCGACCCTTTCAGGCGAGAGAGAGCTGCACGTCTTATCTCGAGTAGTGTGGAGGCGCTAACCGCCAAAGTTCATGTTCCACATCACGATGGTTCAGAGTTTACTCTTAGTCGTATACAACCTTCTAGACATTGCTATATAAGAGACGAAAAAAGTCGCACACTTTGTGGTGCAAAGGTTGAATACACAAATGGTTCTTCATGCGAAGTAACCGTAGATGATGCATTTCATGTACTTGCTATAAGGAGACCTGAATTGGATACTCCTGTTCTTCTTTTCACGTTTGACTGCGATAGTCATGAAAAAAAATTCCAGGAATGTTTGGGCTACAAAAATTCGTTTATTATCGATATCAAAAGCAGTGAAAAGCCAGGTTTAGGCAATGAAAGATTTGCCCGCACCTCAAAGATTGCAATGTGCAACAAGCGTCTTCCTAGAAGACTATCGTCTTCGAAGCTGTTGTCGAACTTTACGAATGAGAAAGATGTTACCCATCGAAAGGAGAAGTCCATGTCGTCAGTACAGCATTCACAAACACTTCGTAGAAGTCGTTCGTCGAAGTTATTGAGCAAGTCACAGGGAAGCCGTACCGGAGAAAAAAGGGAAAGGAGTCCACAGGTGCCATGTAAGGCGGCTCTGAATAGGGCAGATTACTCCCAGAAATACGCAAAACTTGAAAGTGAAACAAATGCTCAAGCTGGTTCATGTAAGATTCATGATACAAAGTATCTATCTAGTGGCTTATTAGATACTCGTTTTACGGAACAAGTTGTTTCACCTTTGGACATAACGCCACCGAAGAGAGAAGCATCTAATCTCTCATATGGCGCATTTCCTCAATACTCTGACCAGACTAGTCCCTATTTAGGACGTGAACATACAGAGACACATGATAACGTGATGGTTGCTTATCCGTATGTTTTGGGATTTTCGAATGATATGCATTCGCTTCATGAAATGGCCATGTTACCCGTGCAGCCAAACACTGCTTCTTCGGGCCCCGTTTTTTCAGCTCCTGTTGCTAGTCTTCATCCATCTTCACTGTATTCTGGTGGTTTCGATCGTTCTACATACTATACCATGCCGCTTGTATTCCATCCAACTTCCTTCTTGAGAGAAAATAATCCGTTGCCTGGCCATGGTCCCCAGTTGAATGCAAATCAACACATGGCGGACGTCTTGTCAAATGGATGTCATAGTTTCGATTGGAGTAGCTCTTCGAAGAGTCCCGTTTTCTCTCAGCAGTGCGGAGTGGAACAAGGATCTAAATTGACAAGCCTCTTCTCATCCACACAACAGTCTTTCCCGCTTCCCGAGACACAAATGAGTTATCTGGACAAAGTACACAAGTGGTATGCTCACAGTGAAGACTTGTTTTCCGAAAAAGGCACGAAGCAGTCACCCGTGTTTCGTGAAATGAGGAGCCCTACTTTTTCGGACACGATAGTGAGTAGCCCAAAGTGCACGAATGCTAGTAGTGACGATGATTCGTCTGTAAGAAAAGTAGCTTCAGAAGCACTAGCCATGCTTGGTGAATCCCTTAGAGATGAAACTGCTCATTCACAGGATGAGAAAATATAACAATTAGGTTTTCTTATCGGGCTGAAGTGTTTGTTAATTTTTAGACTAGAAGTGCATTTGTACATTGATGAAGATTTATATAATAAAGGTTTCTTGTAAGAGTTTTTGTTAGACCACCGTGTTTATCTTTAATGAAATACTATTAGGAAATAACAACTACGGCTATTCATAGTGGCAACTTGCTTTTGTTCAGATTCAATATCCAAATGTTGACTCAGTTATGAAAGAAAGTGGATCTGTGAAGTCCCTCTATTTGATAGAAAGTACCCACATACTGTAATATATTCAGAATTCTCTTATTTCTCCTCCAAAGTTCTTCTGAGAAGAGTTTCAACTTGTACAATGTAGGAACGAGTAAAAAAGCAATAACTACAGTAGTGAATTGTTTTCTCAAACCTTGAAATGCTTTCGTATTAGAGAGAAGAAAGACAAAGGTGGGAAGGCTTTGGCTTCGTCATTTGAAGAAAATTGTACTCATTGGCAGTTTAAATTTGGGTTGTTTCCAACTGTATTAAGTGTCACTTGTTCACAATGATCGGTGCCAGACAGTCAAGACTAGAAGCAAGAAAGAAGAACTTCAAAAAGTCCGTGGACGTTGAAGAGTCTAGGAAAAAACGAGAAGATCATACGGTGGAAATAAGAAAGTCGAAAAGAGAAGAAAACCTTATGAAGAAGAGGAGGGAGAAGGGTCAGCAAACCGTGGTGGGATCGGGGGAAGCTGCTACCCAAGCTTTGGACGCAGCTGTCTTGGCTAGAATTCCGAAATTAGTACAAGATATTTGGAGCGCTGACACTGCTACTCAGTTAGAGTGTACAAAGGAGTTTCGTCAACTGTTATCTATTGGTAAGTAGTTGGTTGAAGAACAGGAACTTTGAAGAGAAGAAGGTTTTTGAAGATTTGAAAGAGAATAATACTGACTTGTTGTTTTATTAGAAAAAAATCCACCTATAAGCGAAGTGATTAGCACTAGTGTGGTTCCAAGATTTGTGGAATTTTTAAATAGAGAAGATTCACCCCAGTTGCAGTTTGAAGCTGCTTGGGTGCTAACAAATATTGCGTCTGGCACTTGTGAACACACCACAACTGTGGTTGAAGCTGGCGCCGTTCCTATTTTTGTGAAACTGATGACGTCTCCACACGAAGACGTTAGAGAGCAAGCGATTTGGGCTTTGGGAAACATCGCTGGAGATTCTCCAGAGTATAGAAACCTTGTCTTGCAACAAGGTGCGATGGCACCTCTTCTTGAGCAGCTTTCACATACCTCGAAGGTAGTTTAAATTCAGTTTTTTGTGCTTTTTTTATTTTTTTCTCGTAGTTTTCAATGTTGAGAAATGCTACGTGGACACTGTCTAATCTTTGTAGAGGAAAGCCTCAGCCACCGTTTGACTTGGTTAGACCAGCACTGAAGACTCTTGCACATTTGGTTTACTCTAACGATGAAGAAGTTTTAACTGATGCTTGTTGGGCTCTATCTTATCTTTCTGATGGTTCAAACGATAAAATACAAGCAGTTATTGAGTCAGGAGTATGTGATTAAGTTGTTAGATGAAACGTATATTTATTGCTTTTTTTAGGTAACAAGACGACTAGTGGAGTTATTGATGCATCAGAGTGTGTCTGTTCAAACTCCTGCTCTGCGTACGATAGGAAATATCGTAACTGGCGATGACACTCAAACTCAGATAGTTATTAACTGTTCAGCATTACCATGTCTCGCCACATTACTCAACTCTCCGAAGAAGAGCATTCGGAAAGAAGCTTGTTGGACAATAAGTAACATAACAGCTGGAACTAAAGAACAGATTCAAGCGGTAATTGATGCCAATATTATTCCACCGCTTATCAACCTGTTGAAGAATGCGGAATTTGACGTCAAGAAAGAAGCAGCATGGGCCATATCGAATGCTACTTCTGGTGGCACTATAGAACAAATGCAGTATTTAGTCAGCCAGGGTTGCATCCCACCATTGTGTAATTTGCTTACTGTGCAGGACTTTCGAATCATCATCGTTGCTTTAGAAGGTTTGGAAAACATTCTTCGTGTGGGTGAAAGATTAGCAGTTGGTGGGCTTAACCAGTATGCACTGTTTGTTGAGGAAGCAGAAGGAGTTGACAAGATTGAATCATTGCAAACGCATATAAATGAAGAGATTTATTCTAAAGGTAAGAACAGATGTGTGGAACTAAGACGAATTGGTTTGAATATTTACTTGTAGCTTTGAAAATTTTGGAGACTTATTTCAACGGTGCTTCAGAACCAGTGGAGGGAGTAACACCAGTTTCTACAGAAGGGCAGTTTGGTTTTGGCTTGAATAGTCATGTTCCGTCACAAGGAGGTTTCAATTTTGGTGATATGCAAGAATGAGTTCTCTTAAATTAGACTGAGGATGATTGGTCGAGAATTTTGTGCCTTAATTTTACTGATACCCTATACAAACTCTGATATTTTATAAGATATTTCATGACATTCGAATATTATATTGCATAAACACAGGAATTACTGCATTTACAAAGAGCATGATTGGTTTAGAAAATGCAAGTTATATATATGATCTATTTTTGATGCTTTATTTCGATATATCCAATGCAACATTTGTGGAAAGTTTACTTTGGGCAGCCATCAAAGTATCCGAGTAAGTTACTCTGCGTCATTGTCCATAAATGAGTATATCCTGATGTAACTCGAAATCTCTCTCGAGATGATCGAGTTCCAATCCCAACGACCCATTATCGTATCGAATTTATTTGAGTGGAATTCAATCGAGTGGAATCGAGTTTGAAAGACAATTTACCACCTCTTGTGCTCATGGTTGGTATAGTACATGATGTTCAAGAAACGTGACGTACAACTTTCGTTGTTAGAGTGGTTCAAAAGAGTAGAAACAGGTTTGAGGAGGCCCTGCAAACTATGGAAAGGTGTTCCTTTGTCTATTCGTTATTGCTTTCGTAGAAACTCCAGAGACCTTTTGTGCTATATCGAACTTATAGAGCTCGCTTCGATAGAGTTTCAGAGGAAAGTCCCTTTCAAAGAAGAAATTTGTCTGGTATTGTTCGTATTTGAGAGGCTTCAAGCGTGGCTTTCCCAACGTGAAGTTTTTTACAAAAGCAACTTCTCGATATACGGCGGACCAGAAGCTGTGGTGAGACTGCTGTTTTGCTTACGGGAGTCGCACAACGAAAGGAAATCACTCAAGGACACGTCAGTCGATATTTCTTGCACGCAATCACTCGAACAAGCTGCAACGGATGACTGTGAAGTCAGTACCAGTGACTTGTCTTCCGCAAACTTTTCCCTCGCCCATTTGGATAACTTAAGGAGAGTTTTCGAAGGATTGGAGAGTGTTATCGATGCTTTCCTCGGTGAATATGTTATACGCTACGCAACATTGAATCTTTATGATTCTTTTAAGGAACTTGAAACGAGTGCACTGTTTTTGCTGAAGATGTGTTGCCTATCCATTCCCGGTGTCGTGGAGCGACTTAGCCTAAGAAAGGATCTTTTAATCTATCTATTTACCTTAACTTCGAACAAGGATCGAACTTCTATATACGCTGTTGGTATTTTAGATGAACTTCTTGCAGTTCGACGGGAAACCTTTCCGCTGGTGGAAGTACCTCATCTGTATTCACTGCTTTGTGACCTTTCTCCTGCAGAACTTGCCTATGTTAGTAGGGTACTAGCTTTGCTTGTTTTTGAACCTATGCAATGTCAAATATCAGAATATCCTCGCATCAAGAGTCTAACGGAGTATCTGGCCAGCCGGACTCCAAGTGTCATCAACTCAATGAAGATCGTTGAAGAAAACAATTCCATTCTTCTTGGATGTTCTTTGCTTATTCGGAGACTAATAGTCGTTGCTGCATGTCCCTTTCAACATTGTGATATTTCATGGAGTCAGGAATGCAGTTCTTTTGTGTCGACAGAATGGTTGAATTCTTCGTTGGAGAAGGAGACAGACGGAGAGTGGAGACAATTTTTGATTTCTCTAATAGAGTATCATCTTGCTTTGAAGGAGCACATGGAGCACACGTCGGAGGACTGTTCACAAGACGATATGTATATAGACAAAGCGTCAACAAGAATAGACGATTTGTTCATGCATTTAAGCTCCAGGACAAGAGCCGTATTTGATATTGTGGGGAAAAACAAAAGAGAGTTACTGTTTGTGATATGTTCGCTTTTAAGTGGTGAAAGACAGGTTGAAGCTCAAGATATTTTCTTTTCCGAAGGATTGTTTTCAGCGTTGTTGTTTCTCTTTAGTGGAATGGATTGGAGTTCAGCGCCACCACAGTCACACTCCGGCCTCCATGGTCCTAATTGTGAGTGCAACCCGAAGAATGCGGAGAAAATACAACTTCTTCGGCTTCTTCAAAACTTTGTTCAGAGAGAAGATGATAATAGAAAGCTAAAGAGACAACTCTTGTCGTCAAGGGAGCGCATGGCAATTAGAAACTATTCATCCAGACCTCCGCCAAGGTCGACAAGAAGGCGTCGTAGCTTTCTTCTTTCCAGTGAGGGAGAGCAAGGTTTCGCCAGAGACTCCTCTAGTTCTTCTATTCATGAAACATTCTTTCTTTCTTCATCATTTTTTACCTCAAACGACATCGGAGGTCCTCTGCATCGTTCATATTCAACAGATACCACTAGTGATGTTTGTCAAACATTGGCCAACACATTCCTTGGTCAGGATGGAATGGAAGGTGCAGAAGACATTGGAGTAGGTTCAAGAAGTATTAGCGAATTAGTGCACATTGGTAGGAGTTCTAGTAAATATGAAATTTCAGCCTATAAAGGCGAAGGTAGACTTATTTTACACGACGATACAGATTGGGATGATGCAGAATCGGTAGTAACGGATGTTGAAGATAATCCAAGTGTGCTTTCCGATGAGGAGTTGCCGAAAGAGAAGGGAATGATATCTCTTTTGATAGACATATTCACAAATCGTGTTATGGATAGTTCTTGCTTTGTTTCTCTGGCAAGCTGTTTGGAGAGTTTTCTTGAAGGAGCAACTAATGCAGAACAGGCACTTCTAGCTAGACGAGGATTGTTACATTCTCTTGTTCTTCAAATAATTAATCATGATGGAACTGTTTTTGATTGCTCCAACACTCTTCAAGCAAGTTTCGATCTTTTGAGTCAACTTTGTCAGTTTAATAGGGACATCTTTTTTGCTTTGAATTTGGAATTGAAGTCAGAAGAAGGAGAAAAGGCGATGCGTTTTTTTCGTAATTTGAGTAGAAATTTGGTCGACTCTAACTTTTTCCTCCGGTCTGTTGTCTTATCGTTACATCGTTTTCGTATGGAAGATGAACTTGCGGTTTCTTTTTCAGCTCGTTCATCCGGTACAGCTGCATTTGCACCCTATAATTTTAGTAACTGTGTTTTGCTCCATTTCGTGCAGAAGAACCGTGTTCGTCTAGTCCATGATCTGATCCATGCTGTACGAGATGGCGAGGGTAAGTTTTGTAACATTCAGACTCTCATTTTCTGAGATATTTTGTTAGTGAACCAGGAAAATATCAGCTGTATCACCACGGCAATACTATTTTTCCTAATCAGCGATGTAAATATGGAATTGGACTCGTTTCTGACAAAGATTCGATTGTGGGAAGCAGCTGCTGACCCTAAGAGTTATCGTCGCACCATGAGAAATTTGAGAGGACTTGTCAGTTTCTGGTATGAATACTATGCCGTTAGGAGTGTTGCAGTATTGCATTTGGAACGCAGCTCATTCATTCCTTTTTCAGAGTGGAAGCGCATTGTTGACCTTTTGTTAGAAGCGCTTTAGAGAAAGCAATAAATTTCAAAGCATGGCCACAATGGCCTCTTGCTGTTCTGGCTCGGTTTCAGAGTTTGGGGTTGAGAATAGGTTTTCTTGTTGTTTTGTCAACTGCAAAGCCTGGGAAGTTGCCAATGTCCTTAAGAGAACCTCAAAAGTGTCGAAGATTCCTAAGAAAGACTTTCGTAACGTTTGTCATCGCTCGTTGAGAACGAGAACGAATCGATTTTCGTCCGTGTCTATGTCACAGTCGAGAGACTTTTCTGTTATGTGGAATAGAATTGTGACTATAGCTTCGTGCGTCATTTTCTCGTCTTGTTTATGTTCAAGAACAAGTTTTGCGAGTGTGCGTCCAAACCCATACGGTAGACAGAGCATTGACGTTTCCAAGGTTAGTATAGTTCTCTACCTTTGGTAAAAAAGAATAATGGTTTAGATGCGAGCTGCCAGAACGAAACTGCCTTCGGAAACTGCGAAAGAGAAGAAAGAAAGATTTTTGGAGAAGCCCTTGATCAAACGCACCTTAAAAGCAGTACCTATAGTTCTTGTGACAAGCGGTATTGGATACTTGGGATACCAGGCATATCGTCTTTCGGAAAGGAGGAAAATCGAAAAGTGGCAGCAAGTGCTTCAACGCCAGTTTCAAACCAAAGACGTGGAAGAGGCTAATTCAACCTTAGATGAGGCGGAGGTAGCTATAGAGAAAAACTTGTCAAAGGAAGATAGTAGAGAAAGGCGACTGGATGAACTGTCACGATTAGAGTTGTTCCATAAGAGGGGTGAAATGAAGGATTTACAAGTTGACACTGTTGCCCCAGAGCTCACAATGCATAGCACCGATCTGACACAAAGTTTGATATTAGAATATCTCAAAGGAGTTATTGACGTCACTGAGTGGAACGAAAGGATTGAAAGATTAGGCCGATCAAAAGAAGAAGTTGTTCAGAAGACAAGAGAGTTCTGCACAAGTTACCTCAATGCCATTTTGGACAAGTCCGCAAAGTTTTCAGATACAAATGACAAAACTCGAATTGAAACCATGCTAGTTCTTGTGGATCAACTAGAGAAGCTGGAGACTTTTAGTAATCAGTCGAGTATTGCATCCGATTTGAGCGATGAGCATTGGCTCAAATATTCTGGCACTGCGAATGAGAAGGAAGTAGAAGCAGCCTATCGTTTATTAGCCATTCACTTCTTTTCGTCAGAGAGTAGGATCAAAGATGGAATGGAAAAGTTGCCTTTTGTTCAAAGATATCTAAAGCTTAGTGACGAAAAATTTCACAATCTCAATCAGGAAGTAGCCAAGGCTATTTTTCAAGTGGCCGTGTCAAATACTCTTTCAGAAGGGAAATTGGACGACGAATCTCGTGAAGCTTTGGAGACCCTGAAACGGAGCTTCACTAAAATGATCGACAATGAAAGTGCGGAAAACATAATCTCCGAAGTGGGTTTAATGAGAGTGATGTACGCACTTCAACAGATATTAAAAGAGCAACAATTTGGTGATGAAGACATTCAGATGTTGAAGAGTATGTGTGAACAACTCGGGGTTGATCTAGAAAGTCTTTTGAAAACTGCGGAAGACATGGGAGATAATATGGGACCTCAGGTAAAGGAATTTGTTCATCAACTACGTTCGTTTCTCTCGAAAACTTCAAAAGAATAACAAAGATAAAAAAGGCTTTTCATTATCTACAATATATTGCAGTATGTGGAAAAGTGAAGAAATGCAGCTCAGTTTTCTCTCATTCATCAAAAGCAACGATCACTCCTCGTCATAGTTATCTTCAATTGCTGTACTTTGTAACGACACTTTTACTGACAAGCCTTCTGCTGGTGCAGTATCAGAAACATCTTTGTTCTCGACTTGCCTGCTTTGTGAAGCTGTGTTTGCATATTGTTCTGTATCGCCTGCGTGTTCCATCACCATACTTTCTGTTTGTTGTTCCACTACTTGATTTGTCACCACATTTGACTGTTTTGAAGCTTTCTTTCTTTTCTTTCCACCGTTTCTTTCAGAATTGCGCCTTCGAACCGACTTGGATTTACTCACGCTCTCAAAAAATTCTTCATTATTCTCTTTCCTGTTCCTGTTCCGTCCTTTAGACAATTTCTTAGTTTCTTCCACTTGATTACAAGTAAGTGGGACCTAGAAAAGTTAGTCTATTATTGAGCTCTCTAGTGAAACAACACCTACGTGTTCTACAACACGATGTAAACTCTTAAAACGTTTCTCGTTCTCCACGCAGTGTCGTAACTGGTCTGGTGTAATAACCGATAAACTTCTTTGTCTTGCGAGTTCAGCTGCAGTAGTAAGGAAATCTTCTAGAGCAAGTTGTAGAGCCTTGCTAAGTAGGAAAGGTGCCGAAACTGCTATCTTCCCTACATCTTTGTCACTTCTCATCATTCGCTTGATTCTAGCAGGTGGAAATACAAGATTCCTTGCACGCCCTCCCATCACTAACTACACAATTATGAAATGAAAAAGGTCAATTTCATTTTGACGAGTAGTTTCAATGCATTATGAAGATAATGACTCGAAAATGAAAATTTTTCCTGTAGCTTCTTCCATATTTCTACTTTTTTACAGTTTTGGTAGGTTTTTTTGTTGTTTTTTGTTCACTTTGTTTGTTCGTTTGCCATATGAATAGTCTTTGAGTGGCAAAGTTTGCTGAACTTTTAAGAGAGAGTTTTGACTGTTTTCTTGGAATTTGTTATGATATCTTTTTCAATTCTTTGTAACAATTGGCTGGGTCTTCATAGAACGAAGCTAAGAATAGCTGCGACACGGAAACGTAGAACACGCGTTCCACTTTGAAGAAATGGCGAAGAGCAAAATACTTTCGCTGTCGTTGAATAATGTCTGAGCATATAGAGAGCTTTGTTTATCCTCTAACAGACTGAATATTCTAGGCATGCGTTATCCTTTAGGAAGGAAAAAATAAAATTATTCACAATAGGAGCTGAGTTCACAAGACAATAGATGCTGCAATAGAGCAACTTGGCTTTACAACTGAACCTAGGAAGCCTTCAAAACTCTACCTTATCTAAATTTCGTTCCCAAAAATATCGAGGACTATGCTCTGTCCGCCTTGTCAGTACCTCAACTCCTGAACTGGTAACTAGAACAACCTTTAGTCACAATGGAAACATTCAACTTATTAACTTACTGGCTATTGTGTGTTCAAACTGCGCACTGCGCTTTCCATCAGCAGTAGCTGTCGTCCACTTATCTGGCCAAGTAATGGACTTGAATGTACCTGCAAGCGTGAAAATTTTAAACTTGTCATAGAAGTAACTAACCTTCATTAATCATTGGCTCGATGGTAAAAATATGCCCGACTTGCATTACTCCTAATTTTACACAAGTTCAGTGCTCCATTTTCTTCTACGAATTCTGCTGAAACCAACCGTTTCTTTCTCGATTACGATGATGAAGAACATTGGGGGAAGTATGAAAGACGCGTCCGATTCCATGGCCACAGAAATTTCGGACAACTGAAAAGCCTTGACTTGTGGCATGATCCTCGATAATTTCTCCAATCTTATTATATGATACACCAGGCTGCAAACATTAAAATATAATAACGCGTCAAAGAGTAACCAACCTTGCAAATTTTGATAGCCTTGTAAAGACAATCATATGTTGTACGAACAAGACGCTTTCCTTCCTCATCAACGTTTCCCACTAGAAGTGTGGCCGAACAGTCTCCATGAAATCCATTTACAAAGCAAGTCACATCAACATTGATAATATCTCCTTCCCTTAGGACAGTACTGTCCGGAATACCGTGACAAATTATTTCATTTACCTAACAGTTGTGAAGCAAACTAAAATATATTCGAAGTTAACAAACCGAAGTACAACAAGACTTGGGAAAGTTGTAGTAGTTGAGAGGCGACGGATAAGCTCCTCTCTTCAACGTTTCTTGGTGAACAACGTCATCAATTTCATCTGTTGTAACTCCAGGCCTGATAAATTGTGCAGCAATATCCAAGACCTCTCTTGCCACTTGACAAGATATTCTCATCATTGCCAAGTCCTCGTCACTATGAACTTCAATGTCCCAAGGGGCACGTGAATTCAGAGGAGGCAAACCAGTCTTGGCATAATTAGGTTTTGGTATATCAGCAGGAACTTTTCTCGTTGGACTCTTCTGACCAGGACGAAGGGTTCCACTATAAGGAAAGTCCATCCTTTTCGGGATTCCAAAACCCTTACCAACTGCCTTCAGGAACAACTTGGCCAAGTGCCTTTCTCCTCTCGAACAACATTTCCCAGAGTCTAGAAAAGAGTTGCCACGATGTATGCGACAAAACGCAGAATAACCACGTAATTTACTGTTATCCTTCAGAAAACAGCAACTTGAATTGGGTAGTATCACGAAACCAAAGGAACTACGCCAGCAAGTCCACATAGCAATCCACAATTCCACGACTTGGGAAGATTGCCTACATGTTTATTATTGACTGTCATAATAACTTTATTGGAAATAGACCGTTTCATATTCATCCATTCTGGATAGGGAAAACAAATCGTATGAGTATTTTAAGGAATGAACGATACGTGCTCTGGAGAGACCCTCACCTATTGAGAGCATCAGTTTCACAGATTCGCATAGTTCTGGTAGAACCTGAAGGAGCAGACAATGTAGGAGCAGTGTCTCGAGTCATGAGGAACTTTAACTTCTCAAAGCTCGTCTTGGTGAATCCAAAGTGTGGCTATATGGAGGGTCGTGCACGAGCTATGCACGGAATTGAGGTTTTAACAAACTGTAAGGTAGTTATGTCTCTTGCGGAAGCCCTCAATGGATGCACTCGTGTGATTGCTTCTACAAGCAGACAAAGAGATTCTTGTACCGATTGTAGGTATATGCTTAATTTCTTGAGTGGAATTTGTTCTTAGTTTATTGCAGTGGTGTTGGAAGGCCCCGGAAATGTAGTTCCTTGGTTAACACAGCTGGAGTGTGGATCCACTGCGGCGGTTGTGTTTGGTAGAGAATCGAGTGGTCTTACTAATGACGAACTGAAATTAGCGCATCGCTTTCTGAAGATCCCAGCAAGTGAGGACTATCCTGTCTTAAACTTGGCCATGGCCGTTGGCATTGTTTGCTATGAGCTCTATCTATGGAACAATGAGACCGCCAGTAGAAATTTGAACTTACAAACTACCAAAGCTACAAGCTGTGAGGCAAGTTTTGAAACTAAAGAGAGTTTATACAGTCGTCTAGAAAATTTTCTTCTCAATATTTCGTTTATTTCTGAACAATCTAAAAAGAAACGAATGTTGAAATTTCGTTCCATGCTGAATCGATTGAATATGTCAACAAAAGAAGCCAATATGTTGCATGGAATTATATCGCATGTGGAACAAACGTGGAAGCCAAAAGGATAATCAGACTAAAGGACTTTCAGGGGGTATGGTTTCTGTCTCTGGAAATGATATATCAAACCAAAATTCTGGAGTTTCCGGTGGAGTATGGCAATGTCGATGTCTAGAATATTTCTGTATCATTTCTTTGCAGCGTTCCTAAATATATTGTTCATATTATATCTTATAAAATACTAGAAATGGATTACCTCGTTATTATGCGCCAAGCAGTTCCAAGTTTTTTGGCATTCTGTACATGTGCTGCCTTTCATTTTCATTCGTTCTTCTTTCGAACGGATAACTGGATTGGTACAGAGACAGTTTCCATTGTTATCTTTGTATTCAGTCGTAACTTTTGGAATAGAACTTTCTTTCGGTAGATGTTCCAAAATTCTTGAGGTACTTTCTGTAATCTCATGAGAAGATGTCTCCTTCGTCGGAGAAGGCGTCTGGGAAAATGAAACTTGATCACAACCTTGATCTCCAATTCTGGTAATTTTACCAAATTTCTGTGAGCTCACTAAACCTCTGGCAACCTTTGTCTGTCTATGCATATCGCAAGTCTCTTTTGTCTCAGCTTTATGTTTACGTAAGGGTTTTAAAGTATTATCTTTTGTCGTCGATAATTCTGCATTCCTTGTGGTCAGTGATTGTCGAACACGAGAATTATTTAAAAGAGGAGAGGAATCATTTATACTGTATTCTTTCTCTGACGCAATGTTCCTTTGTTGGCTTGAAGGCTTCGTATACAAACAGTCAGAGTTCCTTCTCTCACACGACAACGATCTGGAACGCTGAATTACAAATGTATTAGAATTCTCGTCAGAATAACTCTCTTTGGAAAGTATTTTATGTTCAGGAGAAGCATCGATATTATCCATTCCTGAAGATTGTTCCCTCCTCGCTTTGTCATCAGAAAACCTCTTTGGAAAGGTACCGGTTGGACTCAACAACGGTTGTTCTTGAGAGAAACACGTAATTTCGTCCTCAGTAGAAGAAATTCTTTCTTCAACTTTCTTTATAGAGTTTTCAAAGGGATATCTTTGCTCTTTTGTGGCTAATTTCGCTTCCTCAAAACCTTTGGACACAACTTGTTGCAACTGCCTCACATCAGTCTGTAAATTTTGTATCTGTTGAGAAATATTTTCCAGAGCCTGGCAACAGTTCCAACAGTTGTTTCCACATCCAAATTTAAGATTCAAAAGACTCAATAACTTGCTAAAGAGACTACGGAACTCATCATCATCTGTCGCTGAATTCAAAGGCATCCGAATTCAAATTTATCAAATGCGCAAAAAGTAAAGAATTGCTCTTAGAACTCTCCCTTTGTCATTCTTTAAACAGTAACTTTGCACAACTGCAGAAGGTTATCTTTTGTAAATGTGACTCCTCAAATATAATAAACGCGAATGTCTAAATACTAAAGGAATATCTGCGTTTAGTATATCATCAGAAACTTCCTCTCCTTTATTGTTCTCTAAATTTATAAACTACATAAGTCCGTACAATACAATTTTCTTCGAGAAATATGTTATTCTGAATGAGAGGAAAGTTATTTTGCTTACATAGAAGGATCACAGTATACTTGGTACTCATCAAGTAACCATTTCCGACAGTCTTCCTTTGTTCCTTTGGGGTTCATCAACATCCATTCAATTTGTGCATCGAGAATTTGCTTCATCTTTGGACCTCGTGGAAGCTTTGGCAGCAAAGATAAAACTTCGTTGCCATTAAAAAGTGGTTTCCATTTGTGAATATCTTCTATTCCAAGTTGAATAATGAAAGATTCCCAACTTCTTATTCTAGAGAGAAATGTATTCGAATCTTCTCGGCTCTCTCGAAATATGTCATTCGCTCTCCCATGTGAAAACGTATCCCATTGGAGGTCACCTTTCAATATTCTACAACAAGCAACTTTGAATGCTATATTCCATAGACTACCAGTCCTTTTTAAAATTCGGCCAATAGTCAGTCTTAATGGCTCTCCGTCAACACCTCGACTCATATCACTTGAAGGAACATCGTTGATTAAGTGGGCCATCAATTCAGTGGAGCCTTCAAGGACTGTCATTATTGAGTCACATTCTCTAACACGTCTCTTCAGACAATGTCGAAGAATATATTGTGCCAAATTGACTTTGTTTCTATCGTCAAACGTTTCATAAAAATGAAAAGCAACAGAAAATACTCCAAGTTCTTCAAGGATTGTGTGTTCTTCGATAGCACTGTGATAACTAAGGATCTTTCTCTGTCGTATCCAGTTTAACTTGGAGATTGACAGCAATGATTGATAAAATGAATCCTCTAGACTATAGGATGAATCAATTACTCGTGGATGAATAAAAACTGCCTTATAAAGCCCAGTTTCATAAAGAATTCCAATTCCACGAACATAACTAGCTGTCTTAAGCATATAATCTATTTCACTTCCAACTCTTTCTCGACTAACTTTCTCTCCAAGTGCCACATGTACTTCACGAGACTTACAACAATTATACAGGGCAGGATCCATATCAAAGTCAAACCGAGTAGCGAATCGTATGACTCTAAGAGCTCTCAAAGGATCATCTAAAAGTGTTTCTTTAGGTTCCATCGGGGTTCGAATTATTCTATTTTTCAAGTCGTCGAAGCCCTTTCCACTAAAGTCCTCTATAATGTCTTCGTTTAGATTATAAAACAGTGAGTTTATAGTCAAGTCACGTCGAACAGCATCTTCATATGGCGTCCCTATCTGGATCTCGGGAATTCGACTATGGTGAGCATAGCTTTCCTTCCTTAGGTTGACAAGGTCTAAATAAATGCCGTTGACTTTCACTCTGGCAGTCTCCAGATGTTTGGACTGCTCTGGATTCTGTTGAATAATTGCAATGTGACCACAAGTGATATTTCGGGATTTCAAATAGAACTGTAACTTATTCGCAAACTCTCGACCCATCATATTATCTAGAGCTAGGTCGATGTCCGGATCCTCCTTGTTAATTTTCAAGAGCTTTACACAATTGAGAAGTATGAAAATGGAACAGAAACCTTGCCCTTACTTTATCTCTAACCCAACCTCCCGCTACACGAAGAGTGGTACCTGTTTCCAGGACGTTCACAGCATCAAGTAATAAACGAAATAATTCTTCCTCTCTTGCTTCCAAATCAATAAACTTTTTTGCGGAAAAAAACTTTTCTGGTTTGTTAAAAGCTTCCGTCAGTGGACGCTTCTGTTCTATCTTCTTCGAACAGTTCGTTCCTTCGACCTCCGTAACGCCTCTTCCTCCCATAGCCAGCCTCAAAGGCATCAAATTATATAACAAGCTTTGTCTGCCTTTCCAACAGCACTTTGTACACCCCGTTGAACGAAATGATATCCTCTGATAGCCAAAGCCAAAAGATGCAAATAATAATCGAACCATTAAAAGTCAAAATTTTCTAGTTGCCCCTTTTCATGGCGCTTTGTCTCGTTGCTCGTTTTGTTTCGCGTCGCCTATTTTTATACGACAAGCCTTTGAGGCTTTTAGCAACTAGCTCAGAAGGAAGGAACTTAACGGAAACTAAAGATTCACAGTTTGGAAAACAACAAAAATCAGAAGGAGCTTCCGAACCTAGCGAAGTAGAGAACGTGGGGGAGTCTACTTCTGTTGAACAGAAGCTGCCACCTCTGGACCTCACAAACTTAGTAAAAGGTCGACATCCGAAGGATACAGCGGTCTATAAGGAATTCCAAAGAAGATTTGAAGAATTCGAAGCCTCATTCAAAACCGAACATCGCCCAGTGAACTTTGAAGAACTGAGAAGGAAAGTGCGTTTTCTTCCATACCTTGTGGATGAGTTGCAGACATTGTATGAAAATTTTGAACCGCCACCTTTGGATAACTTAGTAAAGGAGCTTGTGCGAGAAGTTGATGACTACTATCAAAAGCTCATACAAGAGTCGATTGAGATCGATAAGGTATTTAGGTTGGTCTTGTAGTCACCTGTATTTAACAGCTGTTTCTAGAGAATCGCGGTAAGGAATCGGTTGAGGCGTGAGACAAAGCGTAAGATTCAGTATATACAAGACAATATTGAGACCATTACTGTGGATGAATATTTGGAACTTTTCCCAAAGTTGAAGAAACAGATCGAAGAGGATATAAAAGAACGTCGGTGGTTAAAAGGAATTGATTTGTGAACGTTAAGATTTGTGGTCTTCTTTATGTCGCTTCAGATCAGAACATATAAAGAATTTTCAACCGATTTTTTCTGCAATAAGTGAAACACTTTATAAACTTTTGTCTACAATATATCAACCATTTTAAGAAGAGAACTAGACGTCGTTCCTTTTCGGATCGACAATAATGAAAAGGAAATTTTCCATTTTTTGCCTTACTCCAGTCCAAAGTCTTTTGCTAACAACTTGGAGGCAATGTTGTGGTATTTTTTTCTATTCTTCGTGAAAGTATTTACAGCCAAGGAACCTTTTGGAAACTCAGAATGAAGTTCCTTATAGATTGGACGTAAGTATTTCATTCGGCCTTGAGTTGTTACAAACTCAATCGCATTCTCAACTGCTGGTTCATAATGTGCTCTCAACGAAAGTTTCAGCCATAATAAACGAATCTCCGCATTCTTTCCTTTGGGTCCATGATTCAGGCGTAACTGCATATCTAATCGCTTAACTAAATCAAGAGAACAGTTACCTTGCGAAAGAAGAGAGTCAAGGAATACTATCATCTGCAATATAAAATTATTTATTCTAAATTCAAAAGATGCAAATGCGGTACTTACTTGGCTCGAGTCCCATCCTTCAACATCATAAGCAGTCAGCGCTTTCGCCTCTGTTTCAATACAGCGTTTTGCCAAAGCCTGGGCAGCATGAACTAGACTAAGGTCCACTTCTGGATATTCTGGAGGGTCACCTGTAGAGTACAGCCACTTGTCCCAGTCAAAACCTTTAAAGACAAGGCGACCAAAACTATCAAACTCGGGTTTCGATATATTGGCGGCAAAATATTCAGAAAAATAGGCAATAAAATTTGTAGTGGAAACACTTTGAAACTGAAAACGTTCGAAAAAGGAACGCAAGAAGCGAAGAAACTTGTCTTCTCCTACTAGTCTTTCGAGCTTCAAAAGCAGGTTAAAGCCCTTCTCGTAAGGACTCGGTCCAAAAGCGTCATCGGGGTCTACTCCGTCCGAAAGGTCAGGAACTAGGCGAGTATAAGCGTGTTCCTTTCCCAATGACTCCAAAGCTTGCTTTAGAGAGACTCTTCCGAGATAAGTTTCAAGACCAAAAAAGGACTCCAGAGTCCCATTCAATCTACTGTCCTTGTGACGAATCTTTGAAGTAATCTTACGTGCAAGAAAGAGAGATATTCCTTCATTTAACCAAAAGTCTTGCCAGTTGCAACATGTCACAAGATTTCCTGACCAGCAGTGAACAATCTCATGAACTATGACTGAAACGAGAGAACGGTCTCCGGCAAGAAGGGTTGGGGTTACAAAAGTAAGGCAGGGATTTTCCATTGCCCTACGAACCGTAAGTTTCTATAGAGCAATATGCAAACTAAAAACTTGCCCAAAGGGAAAGGAAGGCGGCAAACAGAGAATGTCGTAGCGAGACCATGCATATGCACCACAGACGGACTCTACAGCTTTCACAAATTGTTCAGTTTGTCCAAACTCAAAACACGCAGCTTCAACCATAGCCGGTTCCGTCCATACTCGACATCGTTCGGAGAGTTCCTGAGACTCTAGCTCACCAACTGCAATGGAAATGAGATACGATGCTACCGGAATTTTTTGCTCAAATCTGATGAAGAAACATAAAAAACTATTAGTACTGATGCGTATCATACTTACATGAATAAATTATACGTGGATCCGTCATTTCTCATTTGTTTGCGGCGTTCTTCTATAAGTATGCCGCTCATAACAGCACGAAATTCCACTGGAACTGAAATAGTTGCTGTAAAAGGAGTTTTGGCACTTGGCGTATCCTAAAAGATATACCTTCAACAACATCTAAAGAGGATCAAACATCGAAGATACTTGACAAGGAAAAATGGAACGCGCGTGAATAGTCTGACTTTGGGTAAACAAGTAAGGCAATTTCCCTCCTGCAGTTTGTTCCGGACTTAACCATCCACAAGCTCCTCCAACAGGATGGCCACCACCCTCACCTTGAGTCTTATATGAGATTCGGACCCGAACAGTCTGATCAGGGAAGGAAAACCCTCGAAGGCTGACTTTCAACGCACTGCCTAGCAGTCCATGCTCTATTTGGTACGAGTAACCCTTTCCTGTTTTCGGATCTTGTACCTGCGCTATTTCAAGACCTCGTATGTCTAATACAAGATAAGGATCCTGTTCTACTTGAAGAATTTCTACTTCTATTGTCGCGATGCCTTTGATAACTTTTTGAAAGGGATTGATATCTAACTCGAGGGAGAGATGACGAGTGAAGTATATGTTTGGATTGGAATATGTCGAGGGATCATGGAAGTCACTCGGTGGACTTACTAGCCTCCTTTTTGACATGGATTCTTGACAAATTGGAAAACAGAATTAGAATAGGTCAAAAGTCAAAAACTTTCAAATTCCCAAAGAATATTCTGCATCACCAACGTTGATTGATTAAATGAGCCACGTCAAAGACACGTCGACACTTTGTTGTCCGATAGTTTGGGTGGGGAATCTTGGATTCAGAAACTCTTCCTTCTCCTCTGTAGAACTTCTGCGATTAGGAATGACTTTGTCGATACTTGTTCCCCAGACCTGAAATGGTAATTACAAGAAATTATTTCAAGTTCATGGCTATTCGAAAATGGTTCATCACTGAATGCGAAGCAATTCCGATTGACCTGTCTCGAAAATTAATCGTTCAAGTTTTGGCAACTTGAAATTCTCTCCCCACGCAAAACTTGGTATCGTTTTTTACGTAAGAACGTACCATCGCGTTTCTATCTTTATAGTATACTTTCGCGTTTAATATGGGTACAGGAACTGGCGTTTGTCAAACGGATTCTGTGGAGACTGTCGACTTTGGCCTAGATAACAGTTGTGCGGTTTCGTCAGCGAACAAAGATTCTCTAACACTCCGTAAACAGCTCAAACTACAAGGCGTTGAGGCCCTGTTCTTTGATTGC